ACACTCGATTTTTTTCACCCCTGTGTCTGATCTTTTAATGACAGTCTGAACAACACAGATCAGATTTTTTCAAATGTGACCCAGGCCACTTGGATATGTGCTTTTAAAACCAATAGATATCTGATCTTTTAACATGTGATTTCAGTTTGAACAGCCAGGTCACATTCATCCCACTTACACGCCAGGCTCGGAGTCTAGTCAATGGAGGGAAAGTGAGGTTAGCGAATTAATTCATATTTGGGGGGCTCGCTGTATTCAGGCCAAATTGGAGGGGTCTTATCAGGACCGGGCAGTTTTTGAAATGATTGTCAAAGAAAGGCAGCCCTGGCTCCAATTTTAACAAAAAATAAAGAGCCTGCCAAATACAAGGAGGCTAAAGACTCCAACAAACGAAGCGACAATGGACATGTAACCTATCCATTTTACGAAGAACTGGACCATATTTTGGGAGACAAGTCCATCATTTAGATGACTTCCATAAACACGTGTCCTTCAATGCACATGCGGGACACTTTGGGGGAGTTTAAAGTTCACACTAGAGATCACGTACAAGTCACATTTAATTGGAAATGTGAACAACCTCGCAAAAAAAAAAATTTGGATTTCACAAAAAAATCCGAAATGAGCATTAAGCCCTGCAGTTTGAACGCATCCTTAGTCCACTTCTTTATACAGTCTATGATTTTAACAGAATGCCGAAGGGACTGACTGGTCAGGCAAAGAAAATAAAGGAATCAGTGTTTGTGTGCGGTATATTGGAAGAAAATTATTATATTTCCAACCACTTCTTCAAACATATTACCTCCGCTCCCTCATCCTGCTTCATTGTACAGTACTAAAGCCTCATATCTCAAACCTACACATCTCCGGTCTTGAGCGTTGATTCAGCTTTAGCCCTGTAACTCTATAGAATCTGTCAGGACGGGGGAGCTGTATTGTTTGGCTGTGTCTCCTCCTCCAGCGCCAGGGAGAAGTGCTCCATCTGCACTTTACAGAGATCACATTACCGCATCTGTGGGTACGCCAGTTCAAATCTCTCCACTGACTTAGCACGGAGAGAAAACGCAGAGGTCAGAGAGAGGGGGGAGGAGGAGGGATAAAGAGAAAGAGAGGGTTAGAGAGAGAAGGAGAGAGGGAAAGAGTGAGGTTGAGAAAGCATCGCTGTTGTCTAAAGTATTTTGAAAGGTCATAGGAGTGAACGCTGGGGCAGTGGCCGGAACTCCTCACTCCACAATGACGCCCAGGCCATCTGCTCCACCTCCCTCCATCCACACTCCATCCTCCCTCTTCTCTCTTCTGACTCTCCTCGCTTTTTCCTCTTTCCCTCACTTCTCTATCCTCGTCTTCACTCCTCCCTCCATTTCCATCTTTCCTCCTCTCTCCTCCTCCTGACAATCTCCTTTTTCCTCCCTCTTTCCTCTCTCCTCTGACAATGTCCTCTTTCCTCCGTCTTTCCTCCCTCCTCTGACAATATCTTCTTTCCTCCCTCTTTCCTCCCTCTTTCCTTCCTCCTCTGACAATCTCCTCTTTCCTCCGTCTCTCCTCCCTCATCTGTGCAGTGTTCAGAATGCAGCCTCACTTTTCCCTTTGAATTACCCGCACACACTTTTACACCACTCTACGGACTGTGGCTGTATCGAGTTGTTCAATAGTTTGAGTTGCAAGGATTATTTTACTTATTTTGTCACTATAATTGCAAACAAACAGACAGAAACCATGCTCAAATTTAGCATAGCATCAATCTTGCATATGTCAGATTATCCACATTTTGAGGAACAACATCATAACTGAATCCACCTCACAGCATGATCTTTATTGCAATAACATCGAGGAGCTAAAGGTATTACAAAACTGCAACCAATTTTCAAATTACAAATTCACATTCCAAATACTAACAATAAAATGCTTTGTATTTTGGCTGAGTAGATACATATGCATACCCTCCATTTTTGCATGGGTTAGGGTTAGGGTTAGCGATCAATTTTCAATTAATCATTAACATTTTTATATTAAAATGATGATCATTATTATTACTATTACTAATCTGCATAAATAAACTCAACTTTACAATATATAAACCATAACCACTATAGAGCCACATCAGCCCGTTTCACATTATAATGTGTTTAATGCAGCTTTGACACATTTGTTTACTTCTTACAGAAACAAAACTTAAAACAGCATGGCTTATTTCCATAAACTATAAGTGCTGAAATAAAACTGCTCACTCCCTTTTTGCCAATGTGGTTCAGCTTCTGCCGGACTAAAGGACACGACTCAGTGGAATATGAGTGTTCTTTCTGTGACACAGGGATGTGCTGCTCATGGTGAGTCTGTTCTGTGCGTATATCATGTTGGAGATGGTTCATGTTTTCAGAGATCAGATGTGTGCAGGTTTAGCGCAGTTCTTTATTTAACATAATTTCACTGACTTTATTTATGTTGGTCACTTTATTTTGGCTACTGTTGTGAAGACTGAAAAGTGTTTGTCTTTTGGACGCACGCACACTCAACTTTATGTTGCAGTAACTGGGATACTGCGTACTCAAAAAAAAACAAAAAAAAACATCATAACCACACTGACACTGATGCGCAGGTAAATGCACTCTTTGAGGAATATAGTGATCTCCAAGGAGGTGCCAGAGTCGAAGCGTGGGACTGTGAGGACACAACCCCTGTTTCAGCACTGTCAGATGCAGCCTTGTCTCCTTATGCTACGCACAGCGACCTACATTCGGTTTGTTGACTAAAAATGAACGTGATCGACAAAATTCTTTATGATCAATTATCAATTAGTCAACTAATCGTGCCCATCCCTACTGCTAGTACAATGTAAGACGCAGGAACTTTCAAAAAAGCACTAATAGCTCAGTTGGAGTGTTCGTCTCATTCTCGACATAAAAATATAATTGGCAAAGCAGTCAAATCCACTGACGATGTGATTCCAGCTCCCACAGATGAATGTTGTTGTTATTTAGGCAAGACTTCTAACCCTCCTGTCCCCCAGTGTCTGTGTACACTGGTGTGTGTGAAAGTGAATGGGTGAGTGGTTCCTTGACGTACAGCTTGAAGGTGGAAAAGCGCTCTAAATAAATGTGACCATTAACCAAAATCTTGCAGTAATTGTTATGTGCTTATTACCACCACCTGAAACCAAACGAGGATCTTGAGAATGATGCATCTGAATCCATTAAAACTGAATTGTAAAAACTCATATTCCTCGCTCGATTCTTGGCTCAGTATATTTTGCTCTGGGCGTTTCATCCCTCTCCTCTGTTTATAGACAGAAAGATAGATTAAGATTGAGCGTATATTAAAAGCCTATAAATATACAAACCTAAACTAGGTTAAACCAAAGACAGTAAAATAAAAAGGTCTGTTATTGTTATTAGGAAGAGCCTAGTGACGTCACTTTCAGCTCTTTCATGGGATCAGAATCTTTTGGATCTGTACATTTGTAAAGACTGATTCTTTTTAGTTTTAATTATATTTCAGAAGCATTTTTGATCTGACGTACATTTTGGTTTTTACCAATTTAGGGCCTGTTTACATGAGAACACTTGCGGGTAAAACCATCCATCCATTTTCTTCCGCTTATCTGGGGCCAGGCTCGCGGGGGGCAGCAGTCTGAGCAGGGACTCCCAGACTTCCTTCGCCCCAGACACGTCCTTCAGCTCCTCCAGGGGGACCCCGAGGTGTTCCCAGGCCAGCCCAGAGACATAGTCCCTCCAGCATGTAGTGGGCCTCCTTCCGGTGGGACATGCCCAGAACAACTCCCGAGGAATGCGCCCAGGAACAGATGCCCGAGCCACCTCAACTGGCTCCTCTCGACGTGGAGGAGCAGCGGCTCTACTCCGAGCTCCTCCTGTGTGACTGAGCTCCGCACCCAGCCACCCTACAGAGGAAACTCATCTCGAGCGTTTGTATCCAGGTAAAAATACTTTGTCGGTAAAACTGACTAAATATTTTATTGGAAGTGCCTTTTGTTTAGATGGTGATGGCGTTTTTGGGGCTTAAAAATGCAAACATCTGAAACCACCCTCCAGAGTGGAAAAGCTGAATACGCTCTGCCGTAGTGTTTCCATCTACACTTCCCAAGACGCAAAATTGCTGGTCAGATCTGCTTACATCACATACCCGTTTACTTCTCATAAATCACCACCTAGCCACCTGGCATACATGCCCAGTCGAATTCCACACCGTATGCACACAGATTTCCTCCCGAAAACGCTCGTCTAAACGTGGAATAAAAAGTGAAGACGCAATGTCACTTTTGCGTCTTCTGTTCAAACCGTCATCATATAAACATAGCCTAAAAGGGGACATACGAAAGAAATTTTATCTTACAGACATTATGAAATTCTCTGATAAAAAAGAAATACAAAATGAATCAACCCAATTTGAGCAAAACAAAAATACAAAATGTCTTAAAAGTCTAATGCCATACGTCGGACTATTCCAGGCAAAGCAATAACATCATTTAAATGTGTCACATATTACACATTTAAATCAAAACCAGAGAGGACTACCCTGAGATGTAGCTTGCAAAATACCTACAAATATGCACATTTTAATAGCTATGTAAAATAACCCTATATGATGTTACTACATATTTAGAACTCATGCCCTTGTCTGGAAGTACCACCAAACTAACTTCCTCCTCGATAATACTGCGATGAATAAACCAGTTTCAGAATTCACTCTCGGGGCCCGCTCTTACTCTTGCGTTTCCATTCTCTCACTTATGTCTTTTCCTTTTTAAATTACCATGTGAAAGTCTTCGTCTCAACTCCGGCACAGTCTTTGAAACCTCCCCCGGCTCAGAGGGAGGGCTAATGAATCATCAAGTCTTTTGCAACGGGCAGAGAAACAACAGCCATGGGAGAGTCATTTGAAGAAAGAAGAAAGCATCGTAATGAGATACGTACTTGGGCCAAAAATCTCGCGGTAGTTAGAAACATGGGGGATAGAGAAAGAGAGAGAGAGGATGGAGGGAGTACCTTATGTCGGAAGCGGACCAGTTGTCGATAGCTCGGTGACCCGTAGCCGTCCTTGCTGGGCGCTCCGCTGCAGTCCACTGCGGTTAGAGCCAGTAAAGACATGCACGCTGACCACCATCTGACCGCCGCCATTGGACTGTTCCTGAGAGGGAGAGAACAAGACAAGAACTGTAAAAGTCTAGTCAATTTTAGCAAAGGAAGATTTCAATTCTGTCAGAACCATTATGCAAATATGACTCATTGGCACAGTTCATACTTAGAGTAGTTCAATAGACCAAGCTAACAAACAAAAACTGTAAACAAGTTGGTTTCAGTGTTGTTAGCTCCTCTTATCAGGAAGATATAAGGCGGTGTCCACCAGTATTTTGACCAGAACTGAACATATTGACTCAAAAAACATTTGTCCAGTTGACAGAATTGAATTTTCTATTGTTACACAGTCTATTCATCTGTTGTTGGTTTTCCTGACTTTGCAGTTCTATTCAAAAGGTGCCAGAGCAACAACACCATGAGTAATTGAACAAATAAGTTTAAAGCCATGTCGTGCAATATACCAGTCAAAGAACTGTACATAGTTGAGGTTTTTAATAATGAAACTATGACATATGGAGATCCTTAATTTACATGTTGTTCATTGCAAAAACTGTAATTATCTAAATTTAGGAGCTGGACCGCCTCAACCTCCTCTCCAACCAACCACAGAAGTCCTATTTTTATACAACCTATCCCGACATCACTGTCCCTCTCAACTCTCTAGACCCCTTCCCTCAAACCTGTGTCTTTCGCCCATTCTTCAATCCGAAGACATCATCTATAAAGAGGGGGGGGTTCTAAATCAGCTGGGTGATCATTTTGGATAGGAGATTATACCTTCACCCTGAGTCTCCCCCCAGCCGTCACATCTATCCGTCGTCATTAAACATCTTTATCGTATTCCATTGTTGTGGCATGGTCCTTGCTAGTGAAACTGGGTTAATAACAGAAACCAGTCCATTGACTTCCCTCAAAACATCAGAACAGGTAGGCCCAACATCTTTATAATGGAATATCACAGCAAGTTTTGTTTTAAGAATTATATCTATGTAATACTCTGAACTTTCAAAGAATTGATTAGGACAGAGATGTGGGTGGGGTTGAGGGTAATTGAAAACAGAGGCACTCCAGTCCTACAATTGTAACTTTGATTAATCTGTTTGTGAAATCTCTCAGTCGTACAGGTAGGATCTAGCCTGATTCACCAGCCGGTTTCATTTTGTAGAAACCGTCTGATGAAACTCACATTAGAATTTGTTCGCTCAACAGCAGGCGGGTACTTTTTTCATTTAACCAATCGTGACATATGTAATGCACAGTTAATGGGGCTAACTGGTATATTAAGCTTTTCCCAAATCGTGTAGGAAGAAGGGCAATAACGTCTTCCCCCTTGATGAAATTCACCGAACATTGTCTTTGTTCCGGCTTTAAATTCTCGATCTCAGGAATCGTTGCCAACACAGAACGTATGTCTCTTTGCTGGTGCCCAAACTGGCACATCCAGGGTTTTTGCGAACCGTTTAGTGTATTCCGATTCCTGACCTAGTCACTGGAGCGAAATGAAATTGAACAGAGGCACTAGGATCCATAGCAAAGGAGAAATTCAGTTCTGTTAACTGAACAAAACTTTTTTGATCAAATACGTTTTGGAGCTCATCCAACGTTGCTTTTAGATGAACATATGGTTAAGAAATCTCATAAAAGTCAATTTGGCATAATATGTTTACTTTAATGTATTTTACACATTTCTACATAAATATGCTTGCTATATTTTGCCAACATATCACTGTTCACTGATCATGAATAAAAACTGCTAAATGAGATGGCTTAGCTTATAAGTTTCTCATAGCTAAAAGTTCTTGACATTTGCAAATATGATTCAATACAAAATATGCATATATAACATTCCTCAGCCAGGCGATCTCATACAAATGTTCACTCATAGTTTTATTCTTTTCACAGGCCTGGAAACACTTTACTCCACATCCACAAACAAAAATACACCAGGCCGATCTAATCTCGACTATTGTCCTCATTTCCCCATTGAAGTGCACGAACTCCGCCGCGCCAACAGCCCCGACCGACGCCAACAGAAATTGGCGGGCGATATCGGGTTCGCCAGTCAAAAACACCAACAAGACGAGAATAGTGAACCCCCCTCTCCACAGCTCCGCCAGTTGAATGCATTTGGCCGGGACAATAGATCAACCAGGCTGTAATTAGCAAAGACAATGAGCACCGCGAAACTGTCATCGGGCTAAACTCACGCTATCAATACCGCACCAATACACACCCGATTAGATCTCCTCTGGAATCAATTAAGAGGAAACAGACGTCATGACGATAATCCAGATAAGGGAGACGAAGAGCCAATATATTAAGGCAATTAAAGTTCAGGCTTCGGATTAATTAGAATGAGTGGCTGAGTCTGATGTCGCGAAGAGATTGCAGCCAAGGCAGACTCGAGGAAAAGTTGTGGAGGGTAAATATGTTTATTCAGTGAGTACGGTTGTATGGTTTTTGAATTATTGATTGTGATATCCTGACTGACCTTGCGTTGCATGGATTAAAATGAACATGATCATAGATTAATAAGTGTTGCAGGAGTTAGACGTTAGAGTTGAGTTTGGAATAAAATATAGAATAGGTCTGGGAGAAGATTCTGTCAGTGTAGTCAAAACCAGGAGTTCTCAAATCTATCAAACTGGCACTGAAATAATCCTATAACCAACCCACAATGCCCGACAATGCAAAATGAAATTGATGCCTGTAAAAACATTTAAACTCTATTCTAATTTTATTTATTTGAAGGATTTTATAGTTTTTTTTTTTTACTCAGTTTCAGTATTATAACATCTGTGTAAGCACTAGTCTCATATTTATGATGTTTTAGAATTATTTAAGGTCCTATATTACGCAAAAATTGACTCTTGTGAGCGTTAGTCATCTTAGAATGGTGTTACCTCATCAAAAACATAACAAGAGTTGTGTTTTGTTTCATTCGTACATGTTTGAGCAATCCTAGTTTATTAGTCTTTCTACATGTTCAAAGCTCAAAATGTTCTGCTCCATCTTGTGGTAGTTTTCAAGTTAACAGTTGCCTTTTACTTTTTTACACAGTAGCAATGGTCAGGTTCAGGGCTGAAATTACCCCAGTGATTCTAGTGAATATCTAGTGAATAACAGGGGTCTCCAACCTGTACCTCGGGAGCTACCAGTAGCTCTCCACCCCCTTCCAAGGGGCTCGCCAAGGGATTTCGGAATTATACTATTGTGCTGAAGAACAAAAATTTGGTTAATTACATGCCTATTACCATTGTTCATGTATCATTTTGAAGCCCAACTTTGTGCACAAATAAATGGACAATAGCTTATGTTGTATAGGCATCTAACTGTACCCAAAGGCTCGCCCTCTTTCTTATAATCGTCTAAATTTCCTGCGGTCGCTTAAACGAGCAGCTCTCTGGTACTTTTGTTTTGTAAAGATAGCTCACCAGAGGAAAAGGTTGGAGTCCCCTGGTGTATAGAGTTTAAAAACACAGTGGAACACTTTCGATTTTACTGCAAAGTTTTCCTTTTGAGAGAAAAAATATGCAGGGTTTGTGTGTGAAACAAAACACAACTAAAACTAAGGGTATGTTTTTGATGAGGAAACTTTACATTACATCAACATACGTAGATCAGAAAATTGCGTAATATGGGCCCTTTAATTGTACTTTCTACATTTTAGATTTGCATTGAGGACATCACATATATACATGATTGTTTTATATATATTTACCTCTGCCAAGGAGGTTATGTTTTTGCCAGTGTTTGTTGTTGTTTGTCTGTTTGTTTGTTTGTTTGTTTGTTTGTTTGCTTGTTTGTTTGTTTCTTTGTCTGTTAGCAACATAACTCAAAAAGTTATGGACCAATTTTGATGAAATTTTCAGGATTTGTTGGAAATGTGAAAAGGAAGAACTGGTTTCATTTTGGGGCTGATCCGGAAGAAATCCTGGATTCTGGATCACTTTGAAATTTTAGTTAACATTGTGGTAAATGGGGCCAAAAATTTTGTTTCTCAATATCTCGGTTAATTATTGACCAAACCCCATGAAATTTGACTCAGGGATGGACAATGGGATCCTCTTTCATATTCCAAAGGCTGATCCGGATCTGATCCAGAAGACTGATTTTATCGCAATTTATATAAAAAATGGGGGTAGTCCTTGGCGGAGGTCTGCGCTCTCTGAGTGCTTTTCTAGTTTAGATTAAAATGCTCAAAGTAGATGCCCTTTGGTTTCTTGAAAATATATGTATTAGTGTATGTCACTTTTTTTCTTTATTACATAATTCCATATATTTTGCTTCATATATTTGGCGTCTTTGATGTTTATCTAAAATGTAGAAATTAGTAAAAATAAAGAAAAAACAAAACACTGAATTACAGGGATGAGTCCAAACTTTTAATTAGTAGAGTATGTTTTCATGAAATCAGAAGTACTTTAAACTTAACTTTTTTCATCTACCTTCCCATAATCCCCTTTTACCAAACTTCCTCTACACACTGGCCCGTTCTTGACTTCGTGGATTTGGCGGGGAAGTCGTGGATGTGACGTTTTCTCCGTCAAAATCCACTGCTGACTGCTGTGTCTCGGTTGGGGACACATGAGTGACAGCGCTGAGGCCCATCTGTCCCTTGTTCTTCACCCTGACACTGACTCGAGGAAAAGTGACACTAAACTGGCACCTCTGTGGGCTCACGAGGGCGCGCCGGAGGTCAGGGCTAAACTCCGGTATGGCGCTATGTCAGTGTGATGGGTCTGATGAGAGACTTATGGTCAATATTGAATCAAAGAAGCTCCTTTTAATTACATTTGAATTCAGATTTTTTAAACTTTAGATGGTAGAGGTGTGAACTTGAAGCATGTAAGTTTGTGGTTTGACACTTGTTTCTAGATGTTGTGCCTTGAGCAAGACAGTTCACCAACTATAATGTATATGTTTTTATGTGATTCATTGGGGTTGACACAGATAGGCAGTTTTACTTCTGTCAAATTGCCCCAAAGCAGAGTCCTGCACCGGGTCAGGTACCCACGCAATAGTAGCTGAACCAGGCGGGTTTTACAA